GGTCATTTCCTCGGCCATGCGGTTCACACCTGCCGTCTTGACCCCTTTCTGTGTGCAGATGGTTAGTCTTCGTCGAGTCTCAATGGCTGCAAAGGGACTTACCTTGGTTCCCGCACGGGTGCTACTAATGAGCTCAAACGGCCCATCGGCCCAAGCCTTCTTGCTAGACATGGTTTGATATCGAACGTGAGCTTGCGAGACAGATGAGCGCCACCCAGATGAGAATCGACGTTGAAAACCTCATTTTATATCAATACTGAGCGCCCTCATCTCCGCACAACACCGCTCTTGCTATCCAGATCCACGGCGGAAGCGCTTACACGTAGCGCCAGCCAAGTAATCCTCTGGCGTAGAACTCTCTCGCAAAAAAGGTGAGATGAAGGATTCAGAGTGCTGACGAGAGCACCCAACGCGGCAACAAGTCGTCTTGTCAATCCAAAGAAGAGGCTTTGACCCCAGTGCTTACACCTCAGCTCGCTCTTCTGCCCTATCAGCGCACCTTCATTATCACGTCGTCCCGTCTGGTTGGCCCATGTTAATCCTGATGCCTTGATGGAGGTAACTCCAAGGAACGAGGACCCCCAGACGACCCCCATCACTGCTTTCATCCTGATTGGCATCGAGCAAAAGGACAACGCGTTCAATAGTGTGTATGTAAGTATATATGCGTCACGCTCCAAAAAGCGAAGACATGGTGGTCCGTAAAGGGTCTGCCCATATAAACGCCGCGGCCGAAAACAAAGTAGGCTTGCTTCCCGCCCAAATCCCCAAGTGCCACAAAGCGAGAGGAATTGGTGATTAAAGCGCAAGGAAATGATTCAAATGCCCATGTCTCATGAAGCTTGTTTATCCTCCCAAACCAGTTCCGTTCGATGCCGTGCCCTCCATCATCGCCGTATGATAAGAAACAGAATGAACCCCCCGCCATGCGTAAAACACCCCAAGCACGACACCCAACCCAACCCGGCAATTGCTTTTTGTATCCCTCTCGCGTTCCACACATTACCCGACAACGGCCTTCATGCTCAGACTCTCCAGGAACCCTCCCAGATCCTCCTTCTTGACCTCCACTACGCAGTGCTCGAAGCTGTCTATCCGTACCCGGGCATTGGTCTCCGCCACCACCTCCTGGAACGCCGATCCGAAGCGGTTGAGGCCGTAGCCCTTCTCCTTGGCGTCCTCCTCCTCTTCCTCGTCCTCCGAGTCCGAGCCGTCAGACGCCTCCGACTCGGTATCGAGCTCGTCAAAGTCTGCATCGTCATCTCCCGCCGCCCGACGCGCCGCGCGCTTCTCCTCGCGGATCTTTTGCTTGTTACGCCGTGACTCTTCCCGCTGGTTGGCCTTCTCGCCCTTGGCCGCCTGCCGCTTCTTGGCAGCCTCGCGATCGAGGAAAGTGGTATCCGGGCCGCCGCCGCCGCCGGTGCCGACAACGAGGTAAACGCCGCGCTTGTCGTTGAGGCTGGCGACGACGAGGGGCGTGCCGCGTCCACCGTGGGAGAGACGACCCGTGGTATCCTTTTCCTGCTCGACGAGGGCCTCGCCAACCCAGAGAGCGAGCTTGGTGAGCGCGGCCGGGTGGCCAAAGACGGGCACGTCGGGGCCTTCCTTGACCACGCACATGCGGAACGCTCTGAGGTGCTTGATTTGTTTCTTGTTGATGAGTGATGTGCCGGTGCGGTAGATTGCGCGGTGGAGAAACTGGGCAGTTGGCAGTCCTGCTTTGAGAGCATCGATGCTTCACGATGTTAGTACGTGCTCATGTAAAGTGCGCGAATCACTTACTCTTCCAAAGCGTCGTATGCTTCCCAGAAACGCGCAACCCACTCCTCTCCTTGCGCAGCAACAACCTCCTCGTCGTCCACATCCTCAAACTGGTCTTTCGGTGCTTGCGTGAGCTCGGCGACGTCGTTGTGCTTGCCCACCTCCAACAGAGCACCAATAACGACGCCCACGTCTTGTGCGCTCAGAGTCGCCCGCCAGCCCCAGCTGCGGACAAAGCCCCAGCCGTCCTTTGCGCCAGCGCGGTCTCTCCCGTCCGTGTCGACTGAAGGGACCATGTCGTCCAAGTTGTAAAGAGAAGCATATTTGAGCAGCTTTGTCCGGAGCTCTCTCTTCAACATCATGTCCATGTGCGTGTAGCTCTGCTTGCACTGAACCAGACTGACGCCCATCTTGGCCAGGAGCTTGTGGAGCCTCTTCAGACCCGTGTCGCTCCACGTCTTGAGCCGGGCAAAGAGGTACGGCGAGTGCAGCATGCTGTCGTACAGACTCCAGTGTCTGATGAGGAGAAACTTGGGCTCTGGCGACAGCCTGATGCTTGTGTCTTCAGGGCTGCGGGCCGTTGTGGGGATGATGCCAGAGTTCTCAGCAGCAGACGGACGGCCGCGGACGACTTCGGGCGGATTCAGGCGTCGAACCTCGTCTCTCAGCAGCTGGCGGATACGTGCGCCGCGGACACCCATCCACCCGTTTCCTTGTCCCCGGTCCGAGTTGCGGACGGGCACCGCGATACCTGCAGATGACCTTCCGTACAGCTCCATAGACGTGACACCAACGATGGCGAGCCACAAGAGGTCATTGTCGTCCCGGCCGAGCTCCGACGCGAGAGAGTACATCATGGAGGATATCGGCTCGGAGAAAGAAGCACCGATCTTGTAGTATTTGCGGAGAACGGTCTCCTTTTCTCTCCGCAGGCGCAACAGACGTCGCCGCAGGACCCTGGCAGATGGCGCGGGCGGTGGTTGAGCAGCTGATGGAGGTTCCAGGGGATCGCTCGAGAGAACCATGCCTGCGTCTCGTAGAGATACGAGCCCTCTGTGAGCTGGCCGTCGTGGAGATGAGGGGATCGAGGAAGACTGCTACGTGTTAGTGGGCATGGAAACAGAATGACGCATTACAACTCACAGAATTGCTTCTCCTCCGCTGGTGCGGCCTATCGTCTGTGTCACTGGACTCGTCCTCCTCGTCTCGGTCCGACCAGCTTTTCCGCTTCTGGCCAGCGTGTGCTGGCTCTTCAAAAAGATCCTCGTCCTCGGCATCATCGTCATCGTCGTCCAAGTCGTCCAGGTCCTCGCCGTCGTCATCGATTTCGGGCATATCAAGCAATGCCAGGTAGGCTTCCTTTTCCGCGGCAAGGTCATCCTCAATGTCGCCATCGTCAAACACAACGATGCCCCCCTTGCCTGGCTTGTAGGCGCGATCAATCCGACCAGCCACTACGCCTGGCGGACACCTGGACTGGAGCGAGGCACCTTCCTCGACGGCCGGTTCCAGTGGGAAGCCACCAAATACGTTGCCCAAGTTCCACGGACGGTGCGAGTCCATGACCCAGACCTCGACGCCGCCAAAGGTCACCTCCTCTCCCTCGGGTTCCAGTCCCAGCAGGCTTCCAAGATCAACCATGCCGCCGAGACCGAGGCACACAACAACGCCCCCACTCCCTCCTTGCGGTTCCATCATGGGCTGGACCAAGTCCCGGCCGGCGCGTTCGAGGTCGGCATATCCGGAGACGGGCTGGATCTTGTGGGGGATATAGTCGTGCTTCAACAGGCGAGTCAGGATTCGACATGCGCATAGGGAATCGGGTTCGAGGGCGACGAGAACGAGTACGGGAGGGGACAGCGGGTGTCGCGTGTTCTGGAGGTGGGTGTATAGCTTGGATATCAGAGACCGTGGAAGATACATGGCTAAGAGGATTTTGACGCGTTTCCACGGTGTGTATCGAGCGACTTCATGGGTTGCAAAATGGTTGTTGTCTCTCTTGTGTGGACGCGGTTGGGAGGGGGCTCTACGGCGGGTGCAATGGGGCCGACGGCGGGCGGACTGTCGCAAAGGGTAGTCGAGAGCAAGCGAAAAGATGAAAGACTGCAAGCCGTGAGATGCGTAGGTTTGAGGCTCAGAGGCTGAAAAGGACGGCTCTCTAGCGTGGGGTATATCAAAGTGCAGAAGAATCGACGGTGGGTAACAAACAGTAAGTATTCTGCCTCATGGGAGCGTAAGGTGAGGTAAGGTAGGGTAAAGTGGTAAAGGTATTATTTGGTGTGGTGGTGGTGGTGGTGGTGGTGGTGGTGGTGGTGGTGGCCCAGGCCCGAGTCAGAATCGAGTGATTGAGTGCAAAAGTGAGAGTGACGCGCTGGACGCGGTCTGCCAGACTTTAGCGACGCGTTTAGGTACGCTACCAGCTGTTTGCGACGTGCTGATCTGGGAACCTGTTAAAACCACGGGAAGAAGTGGACCGTGCCGTCGGCCGAGTGCACGGATCAACCGATTGCGGGACGCCGGGACAACCCCGCTCCACTTTCAGTCGTCCGTCCTAACGCCGATGAGGACATGAAGGTTCTCACTCCTATTTCCACCTCTACCTTAGGTACCTTACCTACCTTATCAGGTATCATTTGAAAGTGTCTCTCGTTTCTCAAATCTACAAGCTTCATGCCTTGTTGTCCTTGGCTTTTCTTCCAAGGTCTCTAACAAAGCGAGCAAACACGAGTCCAACGGTGCGCCCCATACCTTCTCCACTTGGTCGGCTAGTCTACCTATTTTCCAGCCGACATAGGTTGATCAGCGTCCCTCTCATTGCTCTTCAAAGTACCTCACTACAGACAGGTACTCCGCATTACATAGGTACCTATCCATGAGCCTTGGCTGGCCGTCTACGAATTGGACCACGGGGGTAACGGAGTTGTCGTCCGAAGTAGCTTTCAATGGCGCCCTCCAGTGCTAGACCGTTAGCATCGCGGGCTATCGGTATCCTACCCATGGGAACCGCTTTGTCTGCTTGAGATGTTCATCAGTAGATAATCCTAGCTCGTCACTGTCCGAATACACGCCACATCCCACATTAACACCCCGCATCACTTCACTGCTCGCACCGACGCGCGCTGTGCACTACTGTCTGTGTATGTGGTGACCGCCATCTCTGAGAGACCGAAACACACTCTGCAGTCTGCTTATGCGCGACCTCCTCGAAACGGCAAAGCTTCGATCCCCTGCTTCTGCTGCTACTTGCCCATCACAGTGGACTTGAGAGAATCGCTTCCACAGAACTCATCGCTCCCGGGCCCTTAATGACGCCGCCCGGCCGATGATGGTATAGACACCGCTCAATATCATACATAGCCGCTACCTTGCCTCACTCACGCCCTTGCCTGCCCACACAAACGTCTTCCTGTAAGCTCGCCGTTGGATCGGCCCAGTCTCCAACGGCCTTCTATCCTGTACCTCCGCACCGCTGCCGGCACCGCATGCGGCGCTGTTTCTAGCTCGCCGTGTCCTTGGAACCAGACGGACATTCACACCGCTCCAGCCTGTTGGCACCGGTTCAACCGCTGTGCCACCCTTCTGGGCACATTTGGTACACCAACAGCTGCAGAGAAGGGGGAGCTGTTGCTTGGTGATTGGCTTACCATCTAGTTGGTACGAATTCCGATTCCTAGTACCAGGTACTGTTCGTCTCTCAAATTCCTCAACTCTGGTTTTCTCCCAACCCTTTTCCGCCCGCCCATTACTTTCTTCTCTGATTCCCACGTACGAGTTGCTCCTCTGGTGCGTGCAGCCAGCTGGGCTTGCCGAACGAGTCATCTGCAAGACTGACAATGCTGTGACCGTTCTCAGGCTTGTCTTGCTCGACCATTGTACGTTAATTCGGTAGCTTCGCCCAGAAATGCGCCACCACATAATCCAGCAGGCTTCATCAGACCGTGGTGTTGTTGGCTCATATTGGATACTCACCGATACTTTAGAAATCACACTTACCCTATCTCACCACCAAAGGGCCACCTCAGACGCGGTGAACCGTCTCACGCGAGCGGTGTTGCCATAATCACACCCCTAGTCTGACGGCCCTCGAAAACCGTCTACAAACCCGCCATCATGAACATGTCCAGCAGCGAGCCCATAGAGCCTGCTCCACCAAACATGTTGGACGAGGACGAAGACTTTGAGGGGTCAGACTACGGAGGATCAGACTATGGAGAATCCCTCGCCTCTTCGGGCTTCACCTCGCTCGCTTCCCGTGTGATGAAGCACTCACACGAGGGTGGAAGGTGCGTAGATCATGTCTTCATGGTTCATCCCCTGGGAAGAGAAACGCGGAAACTAAGTTCACGTACCGTCAGACGCTATCAATCCTTCCTGCAAGGCATCTACCCTCTTCCGAATGATGAGACGGAGCAGTTCCGCGAAGAGATGAAGCACCAGCTTGTAAAACGCCTCCTTGATGAGAACGACTATCTGGCACCAATTGGTGACCACCCGCAAAAGATCATGGATATCGGCACCGGCACCGGCCTCTGGGCCGTTGACAGTAAGCCCTCGTTGTTCACGCCGGTTGGGACTCTATAAATCTGACTCACCAAAAGTCGCGGACAAATTCCCTAGCGCACACGTCATCGGCGTCGACATATCGCCTATTCAAAACTGTTACGCGCCGCAGAACGTTGACTGGAGAATCGACGACATTGAAGAGACCTGGTCGCCGCTGTACGCCAACTTGGACTTTGTCCACATGCGCTCCGTCTGTGTGACGCTTCGACAGCCAGTCAAGGTCATCCACTCGGCGTACCAGTAAGACCCCTTGTCTCTGCCCGCTATATCAAGTTTCTGAAATAAGTCTCTGACGTCCCTAGAAACCTCAAACCAGGCGGCTGGATCGAGTTCCAAGACGCCGGCGTCAGAATCGGGTGCGACGACAACACCCTACCCCCAGACTACGCGCCCGCCAAATTCATGGACAGGTTCATCAGCACCTTCAAGACGCACTACGGCTGGGACCTCGAGTTCCCAAACGTCCTGCCCGACATCCTGCGCGAGGCCGGCTTCGTCAACATCCGCTACCGCTTCTTCAAGCTGCCCATCGGGCCCTGGGCCAAGGACCGCCAACAGCGCGAGATCGGCCTGTTCCTCAGCAAGGACGTGCTGTGGCAGCTCGTCCGCGCCGTGCTCGTCAAGTGGGCGCAGCTCGGGCTAACCAAGCAGGAAGCCGATACCATGGAACAGGACATCCGGAAAGCGTTCCACGACACACGCATACATGGATATCTTCCGTGGATCTCCGTCTGGGCTCAGAAGCCGCCCACCTGAGGCAGGACGCTGCGGTCTTTGCACTCTTGGATGAGATGTGTTTGATGGTAGCCAACCAGCCAGCCAGCCAGACAATATCACCCGGCCCGCCCGCGCAGGTCATGCAGCCGCGACAGGCGACGGCGAGGCTGTGGCGTTTCGGTACGCTCGTCAGTGCCCTTTGGCTGATTGGTTGATGTTGGTGACACGGCATGCATTGTACGGCGTGATTCGACTTGCTGGGAGTGCGGGCACGCGCACGTCTGACAGCATTCGTGTCGGCACGCTTCCTGGTCAAGCCACCACTCGCCTGGCGACAGGAATGCTCATCGTCAGTCGGCAGTCGACAGAGAGAGCAAGCAATTCGTCCGCAATCGTTCGCAAGGCTGGCTTGGCGCCAGTCGACGGCAAACAACGTTGCAACGTGGCCAACGCCCATCTTTCATTCAAGCGAGAAACACTCCGGCCCCAGATCCATTTACGTGTTTGCCCCCCGGATCGTTTACGGTTTTCTTCCATAAGTTACATACACGTCAAAATACCCATGCCTACGTACATCACGCCACTCTGCAATGACATTGGCGCTAAAGTCCCAGACCTCCTCTTTCCTCCAACCCATGAAGCGGGTGAAGAGGGCCAACGTCATGGACTCGAGCCCGACACTGAAGTTGGCTTCTGTCCAGACGCCCAGGGTCTTGTGCTTGACGTCGCGCGGCCACTGGTTGATTGGCCACTTGAACTGGATCCGCACAATATCGACGAATCCAACGCTCGCCATCATCTCGGCCGCCCTGCCGCAGGTATCCAGGAGGAAGCCCGACCTTTGGCCGGCCTCCATCATCAGCTCGTTCCATCTGCCGAGGTCGCAGTCTGGCGGGATTGTTTCATCGTCACACCTCATGGGGAAGTCGATATCCTGGATCTCAAACCAACCCCCGGGGTTTAGGTTGCTCGAGACCACGTTAGCTGATGGGCGCCTACAAGGGGAGATGACCTACTCAAAGGCTTGTTGGTGGAAGTTTTGCCAATCCCTAAAAGCGCCCGTCATCATCATACAGTGAACATAGTCAAACTTTCTAGAAAAGCTCCACTCCTCCTCGAGGTCGTCGATTTCGTAATGCACGTTTGGCGGTGTGCTGGAGCGGTCAGATCTGATCAGTCTTTGTTATTCTGCCACACTCACAAGCCAGGCTGGACGGGCGAGAGATCTACGCCGACAACTTCGGCTTCTGGGTGTGCCTCGCCTGAATAGAGTCAGTAGATGTGTCATATTGAAGAGAGACTACTCGCCAAAGTCTATGGCCCACAGCCCTATGCCACAGCCGACATCTAGGACTCTGTGGGGATGGTGGACCGGGGCAAAGTTGAGCCTGTTTTCAAAGGTCAACTGGCAGAGCTGATATTGAAAAGCTGCGAATAGTTAGAGGTCTGTCAAGCCATGTCGGAGCAGGGGCGTACCTTGTCGATCGAGTTCTTCCTAGACATGTGAACACGTTAGATGCGGCTCATCTGAATTGTACATACATACCTGATCAGTGGGCAAGACATATTTCCCGTCCTTGTATCCGTGATAGATTCTTCCGTTCTCCTCACGTGCCCGTACAATGCTTGATCGGAGTGATGCTGTTGAGGATGGCCATGCCTCGGACTGCCGTCTGTTTAAGCGTTGTTTTTGTCTGTACGCGCCCCAAATTACCTACTTCTCCCAGTGCTGAGTCTACATCACTCCCTCCAAGGCTTTGCATCTCGGCATCTTCAATGTCCTAGGATAGACCTTAGTAAGATGTCCTCAAGATCCCAACTCACAGACCCCTTTCCCGAGTGCTGACCTCATCTGGTTCCAGATCAACGTTTGTCCCGTGCGGGAAAACAATGTCTATCTGATGCATCGCATCAGGCACTCTTTCGGTCATGTCGATGGTTTGTTGTCGAGATCTGTGTCGCAGTTCCAGTAAACAAAGGGAAAACTCCAGAAACAGGAATCATCCCATCAGAGACGGAAGACTGTCAAGGCGTATCAGCTTGATATTCCCTTGCCGCTGCCAAACGCCTATTGAAAAGGGTAACGGACGACACCCGTGCCGGCGAGGGGAATCGTTCGGATGGGGTAATTGTGACGAGGCGACACAAAGAAGCAGCTTGCTTGTCATTCGAGCCTTCGGCTCCGTGTCACCAAAGGCGGCGTGCTGTCAACAAGTCCTAGTTGGCCCAACGAAGCACGCAGCGCATCACGGTCAGCAGTAGATGATGCGTGAGGTTAGTTGAACCCCCTCTCGAGAGCCTCGCCAGACCGGAGAGCAAGCTGCTGCTGCAGTTTGTTCCGACAGCAAAGCTTGATCCCAACACCTTTTCAGGTGCTTGGCGCTATCCGCAGGTGGCTTTGGTCATCACAGGCACAAACATACAGTAGCGGCAGTAACAACACTGTGTGTGTTGGCGTGAACGGTGCCTTACACAAACCGTATGCACGCGTCAGCCATAGCCGGAGTTTGTCGGCTTGGAGTGTCCACCGAGCGAGCTTTCAGTGCCCAGTCAGGACACGATACCTTCCACAGGAGGAAGCAGACGTGGTTGTGGCCGACGTTGCGGCGTTTTGAAAGCCGGGAAGCGTGGCATCGTGTCATCGGCCGTCTCGTCGAGAGCCGGATGCCTGCATACAATCATGCAGAACATCGGGTGGGCAGGCAAATACGGCCGGGTTTGTTGCCGCCGTCAACTGCAAGTTGCTAGCTTGATGCTGATGATGTGCGTCGTGGAGAACCAGGGGAATAGAAGAAAAGTCAATCACCACGACGACGAGGGTGTTCCCGGGACTGACTGCTGTCTTTGAGCATCGGTGTAACCAAACTAGAGTGGCTGCAATCCGGCTCGGGAGGGGCACCACGGGTAGCAAACAGGATAACGGCTCATGGGGAATCTCACATCGAATGTGACCACCCGTATACACGGTTGTCGGACAAGAGCTGCAGGATGGAGTTTAGCTTAAGTATTGCTGCTCATCTACCATAGTCTTGGGTGGCATAGTACTTATCACAGTTTGATGTCAATCCATATAGACGAGTCGGGTTGAAGACGTAAAGTTATGGTGAATAGCCTTTTTCGCGTGCTTGGGCGAGGTTGTCGAGATACCATCTGTCTGCTTCACCGAGATGCCTGTCATATAGTAGCCTCTGGCCGGAACCCGATGTCATGCGGGTGGAACGGGACGCTGCATATGACGGCTCACATTTCTATTTCTTTGCTAGAATGATTGAAGAAGAGTAGGATGCTCGACGGACGGAGCGGGTGGGAAAAGAGGTGAAGAGACTAGGGCGGAGGGTTGGGCCACGAGACGTGGTGATATTGGTGAATGAGAGAAGCCATGATCCATCTTGCCCGAAGGAGGTGCTTGGGATACCTTACATTAGCCACCCTCTCCATATTCAATGGGTGATGAAGTGAGAGAATAGACGGAGGTGCGGTGTCTTTCTTCACCCCGGCTGCCAAATTCACAGCTTCCCTTTCCGAGCTGCTTGCTGCTT